ATTGTTTTCATTATTAGCTAGCACTTCAGTCATTTTTTTGTTTTGAATTAATTACTTTCTTAAAAAGAATTTATCGATGTTTCTTTTCCACTTTTTGTATCATTTTAAATGCTTCCTAATTTCGTTTTTAAAAACAGAAAATGTTAAAAATTTTAAAATGATTAAATTAATTTAAACGAATTCAAACATTGTACACTTAAGTACAATTAGCTGCAAAAAGAAAAAAATAGTTAATTAAATAGCAAAATTTGCATAGCAATTAATTAAATTGGAATTAAGAAGGAAAATTTTTCAAATTTGAAATATATATAATTAGTTGTAATATTTTAAAATTATAAAATTATTGCTAATTTTTTTGAATCGTTGAAGCAAACTTTTTCGCTTTTCTCATTTTTCTTTTTCTTTTTTTTTTTTTTTTAAATTTCAAAAATACATTCTTGCAAAATACAATTGAGAAAATGGAAAAAGTAGAAATAAAATCGAAATTCTTTCGTTTTTTTTTAATTCTTAGAGTACGAATTTGTTTTATTTTATTTTTTTTTTTTTTTTAAAAAAATAAAACAAATTCGTTCCATTGCATTGTAAAATATTTGAGTAATGCAACAACTCAATTAGTACTGATAAATGATAAATGTATCAGTTAAATCGTTTTCAAATTTTATTTTTCTTCAAAAATTTTTTTTTTCATTTTTTCAAATTGCTGTAAATATAATTTGATTACATTTACAGCAATTTTTATTTTTCATAAAAATTTTTTAATAATTTTTAAAAATTAGCAAAATTTAATTTTAATTTTTTATTAAAAAATTTACTCTCAAAAATTGAAAGAAAAAAAATTTTTTTTTTTTGCTTTATAATATAAAATTACTAAAAATATTCAAATGCAATAAGCAATAAAAAGTGTAAAAAAAAACAGAAATTAATTTGAAAGAAAACAATAAATAATGTTACATTCATATTTTATATATTTTAAAAAATTATCAAATAATTAAAATATTAAAATATTAATAAAACATAAAATTATGTACGATAATTTGTAAAAATTTCAAAATTTTTTTTCTCTTTTTTTAAATAAAAAATAAAATTACAAAAATATTTTTGTCTATTATTTGCTAAAAATACAAAAAAAATTTGATTGCATATAAGAGGATTTCTAGTAACAGCGAAAACTAAAATATTTTGTAATGAAATTGAAAAAAATTTTTAAATCTTTTTAAATATATTGTCAACCATTTCCATTGCCTTTTTTTTTTTTTGTCAAACTTATTTGAGAAACTTGTTTTCTAAGTTAGAAATAAACGAATATTTTCAGTTTTTTAAGTAAGTTATCTCATTTAATTGCTTCAATCATTCATTAAAGTAATTAGCAAAAAAAAAAATTTTAATTTTTTTCACAAAGGATTTTAAAAAAGAATTTTTCTTTTTTTGTTAAACAAAGGAAGGAAATTAATAAAAGATAACTTTATTACTCATATTTGCTCAGCAATTTCTTATTGTTTCAGCATGAGAAATTTATGATTACATTAATTAGATAATTGTTTGTAGTAATAAATTTCATATTTCTTTACTTTTTTGATTAATTTTACAATGTAATTTTATTTTGTAAATTCAAATACAACGTTAATAATTTTGTTTATAAATTCAAATACAACGAAATTAAACTTAAAATTTTTCATTGTTTAATGAATTAATTTAAGCTAAAAATCTATCGAAGTATTTTATATAGCAAAAAAAAGGAAGGAAATCTATTTCTAAATTTAAGATTTAAATATCAGAATTTGTTTACTTGAATATCTTAAATAAAGAAATTAAATGATACATATTGAAATAACAAACGAAGTATTTTTTTTTTTTTCAATATTTGATCAATCTGAACTATTTTTTTAAAACTTATTATTTATTATGTTTTGCTATATTACTTATTAATTACCTACTGCTTTGCTGTATTATCAATAAATAATTAGTTTTCAAGTATTTAATTAAATCATTGCATTTAATTAACTCAATCGGAAATTTTCTTTAATTAACAAAATAATTAGCATTGTAGCAAATTAATAAGTAAATAATAAGTAATATAGCAACAATTAACAAATAATATAGAAAATAAATTAAAAATAGAAATAATTTAGTAAATAATTAGTAAATATAACAAATATAGCAAAGAGAAAATGGAAAGAATTTGAGCTAAATCACATGTTTTTCAGCCACAAACTGATATGATTTTGTAATTATTGTTGTAAACAAAATTTCTTATTGTCAATAACAATCATTCAATGATTGTATTTTGTTATTGAAATGAAATAATTGATTAAAGTTAGGGAAAAAATTATTTCTTTTTTTTCAAATTAAAATTAAATATGAAATTTAATTGCCAATTAATATTTTCAATATATGTATTACATTCAAATTTTGTTCACTTTAATGAAATCATTAAAGATATTTGTAATGTTAGGAATTTCAAAACTGATATTTTTAAATGTTTTTATTTTAATTTACAAAATAATTTCATTTTGTTGATAACAATAATAATAATAATAATAATAATAATAATAATAATAATAATAATAACAATTATATCATTCTATCAAATTTTAAATGCTTTGTAATTTTAGTAATTAAAAAGTTACTTAAAGTTTATTTTTATTGAATATTATTAAAAAAATAAATTTTTTCTCAAAAGATTTTTTTTTCTTAAATAATCAAACATTATTGTTTAATTTTGATAAATTTTCAAGAATTTTTTTAAGTAAATAAATGAATAATAATAATAATAGTAATATTGGCAATAAAATTTAATGCAATCAGCAATTTAAATTAAATGATTAAATTGAAAAAATCTTTCTCGAAGAAAACGAGAAAGCATAAGCTTAGACCTTCAGGCCAAAAAATCTACAATACATTCAATTTAATAATTTATATTTCATAAAAAAAAAAAATGGAAATAAATTAAAAAAAAAATGGAAATAAATTAAAAAAAAAAAGCCATATATTAATTAAATAGTAAGTAGCCTAGCAAATAGCTGTTTTTTTAGAATTAATGAAAAAATGGCCAAATATTTTGACTTACAGAACTGAAATAAAAGTAAACAATTAGAATTATTTTATAGGAAAATATTTTTTTGAATGAATTATTAATGTTTTTTTTCTCTTTCTCTCTCCTTTTTTTGTCTTTTCTTCTTGCTAAATTTCACTTCGAATAAATTTTTAGAAGTAATTTCTTTTAAATTTTTAGCTAATTTCACTTCGAATAATAATTTTACAATTTCATTCTAATTCTTTCAATAATTATTTGCTTTTTTTTTTTGATACAAAAATGAAAAATAGATTTAAAAAAAGATATATTAACTTAGTAGTAAATATATATCAAATAGCCTAGCAAAAAAATATTATTAAAATAAACGAAAAAGTTTAAAAATGTATAAAATTAAAGTTAAAGTTAAAAAAAAAAGAATTACATGGTGTTCAAAGTTGATAAGAATTTAATGAATAGTTTAGTGATTTGATTAATTATTTGATTGGAAAAGAATGACAATGGATAAATGAGATTTGTTGCAATGATTAGAAGAATTTTAAATCAAATTGATAGATGAATGGAGTTAATGATAAAGATGATAAATGATAGTAAAAGTGATAACAGGTATATAATGAATTAGAAGACAATGATGATAGTAAAGTCATTATAATAATAATGAAACAACTGATAATGATAATAGTAGAATGATTAAGATAGGAATGTTGTAATGATAAAAAATGATTAGATAGTGCTGTATGGTAGTTAAATATGCAAATGATAAAGTATGTTTAATCATGCTATCACTATCACAATATTATTAATTAATAATCATATCATTTGCATTACAAATCAGTTAAATGATATCAAAATGTGATAGATCAAAATGCATTCCTCAAAATTTTGAAGTAAGTTCAAACTAAGAACTAATTATAATTAATATAATTATAATATTCACTTTAGATAGCAAATGACTTTTCTAATTTAAAAAACTATTTACAATGAACGATTTCTATAACAAATAATTATATCAATTAAATTACAAATGATTTAATGATAACAATGTATCTCTCTTCTCTAAATTTAAAAAAAATTTTTTAGAAACATTTTGATAATTTTTAAAATATAATTTTTGTAAATCTTTCATAACAAACTTAAAATAACAGAATATAAAGTTTATCATTGATGCAAATATAATTTTAATGGAAATAAAAATGATGATAGTAATAATTTTAGCAATAATAATAATATTAATAATAATAATGACAGTATTAATATAAGTGATAATAACAAAAATTATAACAACAATAATAATAAAAAGCTAAATTTTTAATTTGCTGATAATTGTCAAATGTAATTCTAAATTTAATTACTAGTAGTTAATGAGACAATTTAAATAAAATAGACACATTCATTATTTAACATATTGCATGTCTAAATTCATTATGAATTGTATTTATTATTTTTTCTGCTTAAATTTTCAGCAAAACAAAAATATAATTAAATTTTATTGATTACTTTATGATATATACCAAATGCTATTTGAAATGAAAAACTACTTGTTGTCAATGAATAATTTCAATAATCATTAAGTGTTTATAACTTCAATTAATTAAATTTACAAGTAATAAGGTGCATGCAAAGAGAGTCATTAAAATTAGTGTTGAAAATTTAGTACTAATAAGTGATTGAAAGTATTATAACATCGAATTTTCTTCAACATTGTATCATTATTTGCAAGTTGTTTACATCATAATTAAAATTTTTTGAAATTGAGAGTTTTTAACAAATTTGAAATGGAAATTTTAAAATAAATTTAAATCATGTTGCATTATTAAAAAAGAAAAAAGTGAAAAGTAATTATCATAAAAACAGAAGTGTTAATGATCATTTTAGCATGATCCGTTTTAGCAATTAGTAATACTATCATTTTATATATATCATAGTGATACTTTGATATCTATTATTTATCACTTTTGTTTATTCATTATCAATTAACATTCTCATTGGATAATCTTTCTATGCGATATTTATATGATAAACGTGGTGCAAAAATGGTACGTAACCAATGTTGCAATTGACGTAAACGTTGTAAATCTAGCTAAAAAATAAGATTTAATAAAGATTTCAATCCAAAATTACAATTGCAATTATTATATAACATAATAATTTTTAAGTTTAATAATTAAACATAAAGCATATAAAACAAGAAGCATTTCATTTAATTCAAAATGCAAAAATGATTTTAATTAAATTCACTATTAAAATAATTATTCAATCTATACAGGTATATACATTTTGTTTTATTCATAAGAATTAAAATGATTCTAACTTACCTTATAAGAATGTTCAATTTCATCACCAATTGGCTACAAATAGAATAAGCATTACTTCAATATTCTTTAATTAAATATTTTAATTTTTCAATATTGCTAATTATCATCCTTTTTTTTTTTAGTTTTGAAATTAGCATTCTACTAAAAACGAATATATATTTTACTAAATTTTTATCACAGTAATAACAACTCATCATAATTTTCGATGCTTACTTCACAGTACTGTTTATAAATTAATAAATAGATTTGATGACACTTTTTAGTATTATTTATTTCATTATTATTAATTATTAATCTAATCTATTAATTTGTTCACAACATTTTGATCTATTATAATTTATTATTGATTTAATATTTAGTATTTCGATTTAAAGTTTTTAATATTTTAAATGTGATCTAAACTAGATATATTGGTACATTGATTTACATACAAACTATTGATGTGTTTTGAGTACGGTATGTTACGATATGCTGAACTAGAGGTATTGCATGGTGATACGGTAGATTGATTTATTTGTGATCCGTTAAGTACGGTATATTACGATATATTAAACAGGAGATATTACATGGTGGTACGGTACATTATTTTATGTATAGCATTACGATATGTTATGCCAGTGATATAATATGCTGGTACGGTATACTACTTTCTAATATATGCTGATACGGTAATATACTGATACGGTACACTATTTTCTAAATTAATGATAAAAGTGAAATTTCAATAATAGCATTTTACCTCTTTATTTGGTTCTAAATCATAACCAGGTCGTATGATACGATTAATATACACATATGACTTGCTTTGACTCGTTTTATAATTTGATTCGATCATCTTGTTAACCTGATTATCATTGAAGTTATAAAAATAATGGAAATTGTAGAGGAATCATTCGTCTTATTTATCATTTTTGCAAAAAAAAAAAAAGGATTTTCTAATCTTTGTTATCTTTTGAATTATCTTTTAGTTAAATTCAAAATTACTTTTTAAGCATTCATTAGCACTCAATTATTGCTATTATTTATCAATATTTGTTATTACTGTTATGATTATTATTATTACCGTCGTTATCATTAATTACTATTATTATTATCGCTGTTGTTGTTGCTATTAGTATTACTATTATTATTTATTATTATTGAACAACTTCAGAGCTATTTTACGAGTAATATTTTGTGTAAGATTTGATTATTATTAAATTATTATCATTATAATTAATTGTAATCATTGTTAAGTAAAACATTGTGAGCATTTTTAACTAATATTTTTGTTACAAATTTTTTGAAACACTAATTTTTACCATTTAATAATTCAAAAATTTTTCAAAAACTCAATCTATCATTTTGCCTGTGGAAATTTGCATGTATTATAATTACTATTTAAATTATCTTTATCAATTAGCATTTAAAAATAAGTTATCAAAATTTATCGAAAATTATTATTTCAAATATTTTTAATTTCTTACAACAAATTTTTCATTTTTAATAGTTTATTGATGATTCACTTAAAATTTTGATTGTTATTTTGGCAGTAATATCAAAAAAACCTACTGTTTCAAGCATTTCTTCATTCCATTTAATCATCGGTGATTTAATAAACTGAAGAAAATTAAGCGAAAATGAAGCAGAAGAGTTGAAAATTTTGCATAAGCAAAATTGTAAACAATTATTTTTATTATCAAAAATAATTATAAATATGTAAGCTTAGTAAATAGAATTAAATTATTGATAACTTTACATCATAAATAATTTAGTAATTTTTTTTTTTTTGACTGAGAATTTGAATATTTCAGGAATTTATTTATATGAAATAATCAGAGGCACTCAAATATTATCCATATTTCATTTAATTACTTACTGATACTGCAAATTACTTACCGGATATTCATCAATGCTTGGAAATGATATTGTCAATTGCTCCAAGCCATGATAATAGAAATCTTGACATAATGGAAATAATTCAACAAGCATATATTGTTCCAATCGTGGATCAAGTAAAAAATGATTATGAAGCTTATGAGGATAAATCATTTCTGTAATAAAATTTGAAATTATTTAGTCAAAATTGAAATAATTTTAATTAAAGGACAAAATTTCAGTTAAATATTTGAAAGAAAAAATCCATAATCATTTAACTTAGAAGAAATTCTTAATTAAGATTAAAATTGAGATTAAAAGTCCGAAGCTTAATAACACTAAGTTTATTAAAATTAAAAAGTTTAAAAATTTATTAGTAGTTATACACAGTTATATTAGTAATAGATATACAATTAACTTAGTAATAGTTACATAATTTGTAATATAAACTTATTATTTAGAAAATAAAAATTAAAGTATTTATCTTTTCATATATTCATGATAATTTTTAATAACAATTCCAAATAATATCTCTCTTATTTGAATAAGTAAAGTAAATCAAAGATTTGTAGTACTGACGTATAACGTATGACAGTGTAATATTACGTAAAAATGTGTGTCACTGTAATACTACGTGAAAACACGTATTATCGTAATATTTCATAAAAAATTATCATTGTGATATTATGCTAAATAAACATATATTCGTAGTACTACGTAATATTATAGTAAATAATAGTAATATAATGATATTATGTCTTCGAATATTGATTAAATACAGAATTGTAATCTAAATAATTTGTAATTATGTAATAAATATAATTGCAATATAATCGTAATACATAATATAATCGCAATACTACGTAATTACTGATTAAGGGAATGCGTATAATCGTGATACATGCAGTTATTACATATGTATACTTGTAATACTATGTATTTTAATATTGATTAATTATACGATTATAATACTATGTAATATATGCAATCATATATAATCGTAATATATAATAGTAATATGTATATTACATATATAATCGTAATAATGATTAAAAGAGATGTGTATAATCTTAATATAATGTAAAATTTCTATCATTGTAATATTATGTATAAACATGCATAATTGTATTATTACCAAAGAATCAAGAATGATAAAAATGTCAAAATTCATGTTGCTTAGTTTTATGATAACGATAATAGCAATGATAATGATAATGATAATAATAATAGTGATAATGGTGATAATAATTAGCTAATAAAAATGATGTAATTAAATTATTAATTATTTAAATACCTTCAACAAAACTTTTCAGTAATGCATGTGATATAGTAACATTTTCAGGTTTCTTTCCCTGAGCAATCCATCCGCATGCGACACATTTCACTGATAAATCAAATTGATAATCATACGGCGTTGATTGAAATAATTCAGTACAATAACAGATGAAAGTTTCTAATGATCGTTTGAAATAATGTTTACATCTTAAATTCCAACCAATATCTTTATCAATATTTAATATTACAAATTGACCATATCGATGTATTTGAATTAAACTTCCTTAAAAAAAAAAAAATTTTGTTATCAATAAATTATGAATATTGATAAAATGAAATATATTAATTAGAAGAAAATTTAAAAATTATTATTAAAATTTATTTTATTATTATTATTATTATATTTTTCCTTTTAATTTTTGATATATTCAAAACATAATGAATTTAACTAATTTTAAAATTTCATTAAATTTTATTGAAAAAAAATTCCATCTTTTCTTTCTAATAATAAACATTTAAAAAAGGAAAAAGAGAGAGAGAGAGAGAGAGATGAAATGAGAGCGATAGGATATATTTGCGTTGTAAAATGAAAAAATAAATATACAAAAAAAAAAATGTAAAACTTAAAACAGATGAAAGAAGGAAAAGATAAATGAAATGTTAGAATAATAATTTAAGATTTAAATTTAAATTATCATCTATATAAGAGAATATTTTTAATATGCATTGTAAAATTTAAAATTCATTTTAAAATCTTTTTTTTTTTTTCATACTTACTTTCACAGCTTGTATGTTTGCTGCTACAACCTGAAATAATGGTAATGCATTTTCTATTATCAAAATCAAATTTTGCACTATTTGATTCTCGACAACCACAACCACGAATTAATCTTTTGCATTCAAATATGTTAAGTACTTCATTTAATGCTTCCTGATTAAAACGATTTCCAATTGGATAGCTATTTGATGGAGCAAATAATCTGCAAAATCTATTCTAATATTTAATAATTTATTTAATTAAAAACAAAAAACAAAAGTTTTCAAAAACAAAAAACAAAAGTTTTCAAAAAACAAAAGCTAATTAATGAGATAATAATTTAAAAAATTTCAAAAATATAGTTGAGATGGTATTTAGGAATAATAAATGAAATAATATTAAAATTTTTTTTTTTTTTAAGTTATTGATAAAATAATCAAAAATTTTTATTTTGAATAATGATAACAATCAAAAGATAAGATTATTTCATTTGTTCTATTTCTTTTTCTTTTTTTCAATTCTTCAATTTAAAATCTGTTTTGTTTTATTGATTTCATTTCTTTTTGAATTCAATCAAATAAAATTAATTACTCAAAAATGTTTCAAATTTATCATTTATTTCTGATTAAATTACAGATCTTTTTTTTTTAATTTACTTCTTTTATTTCATTTCTTTCAATTATTTTTTTATTTTTTATAAATTTAAAAATTATTTGTCTTTTTTTATCAAAAAAATATAAATATATGCAATACTTTATGCTTTCTAATTTATTCCTTCTAATTAATTTATCACTTTCAATTTACTCATTTTTTTTTTTTTTATAAATTTAAAAATTATTTGTGACTTCAAACAAAAAAAAAAAAGTTAATAAACATTACGTAGGTAAATTCTTATCCGGTTTACCGTATAGAATATCCGTTAAAACGGTTCGTTCTCGTACAGTCATTCGTTTTACTTCAATTGGCTTTACAAATGCATGAAGAAATGAATCATCGGTCATAAATGTTGAAATGCCAGCATGAAGACATAAAAATTCTATAATCATTGAATTTAAATTTAAATTTAAAATCATCGAATTTAAGATATATTCTAAAAAATTCTTTTTTTTTTTCTCCTCCAAATAAAATTTTTCATTTTAAATAATGAATAATTATGCTAAAAAAGAAATTCAAGTTTTTATAGAATAGAAAGTTTTCGTTTTTTCTTTTTTTTTTTTTTCACTTTTTGATAATCGTTTTAACTTTTTAATAAATTAAAAAAAAAAAATTTCAATTTTGAATTTAAAGAAAATTAAAATGAAAACTATCGCTATTTTATCTTCTATCTTTTCCTTTTTTAAATTTTTTTTTTTATTTAAAAAAGTAAAAGATAAATTAATAATTCAATTTCAAAAAATTTTTGCCAAATGTTTAGCAATTATAGAAGAAAAAAGAATAAAATATAAATTATATATTTTAGTGATAATTGATAAGAAGAGTGATTAAATCAAAATTAACTTACTACCAAATATTCCAACGATAGGTAAATATTCAAAGAGTAAAAAAAAACTTTGTAATAATCGTTCATCATTAATCTAAAAATTAATTTAATCAAAAATTTTTCTTTTTTTTTCAAATTTATGAAACAAAATTGAATGCATAATTGACTAATAAAGTGTTAATTATGCTAATTATCAATCTAATTTTTAAAAAAAAAAAATAAAAGTATGAAGTAGTAGAAACTTAAATTTAGTATTACTTAACCTAAAATTATAGTCTCTATCAAAAGCATTTTAATTTTGCTATGCATTTTAAAAAAAATTAGTTTTTCTTTTCTCTCTCTCTCTCTCTCTCTCTCTCTCTCTTCACCTTGTCTCTTGATGATTTCTTTTTTTAATTTGTTCAGAAATTTTATAATATTTTTTTATAATATACTAATTTCATAAATTTTTCTCAATTCAATTAAAAAAAAAATTGCATTAAAAATGAAAAAATAATTTGAAACAATTATATATATATTAAAAAATTTGTTTGAAAAAAAATTTTAATAACAAAAATAATTTAATAAATGAATGATTTATTTTTTCAAAACAAATTGAAAAATTTAATTATTAAAATTAAAAAAAAAATGTTTAAAAATGATTAACTATTTTATCAAAACCAATTGCTTTACACATTTCAAATGTCTCATAATGGCCACGAAAAAGACAAATATTTCGTGGAAATCGTAATTTCAGGCTTAGCAATAATAGCAATGCATCAATTCGTGATGGATTAAAACAGTCTAAATAATCACCTGAAAATCATTTTTTTTTTTGATTGCATGCATGCATGCAAGTATGCATGCAAGTGTGCATTTCTTGTTATTTAATAAAAATAAAATCAAATATGCATGCAACATTTGCTGCACAATTGATATAGCATTTTTAGATATTATCAGACAAAAATAAATGTTTATGCAATTGTAAAAGTAAATCTTGCAGTATTTGATGCATGCATGCATGCATTTAAAATATGCATGCATCTGTGTATACATATTAATTATTATTGCACATACTAATTTAGCTTGAACTCATTAATCTATTAATAATTATTATAGTTATTGTTATTACAACAAAAAAGTTTAAATTAATTTTTATTTTCTGATTTTTTCTAGAAAAAAAATCTTATTACAATTTTTTTTTTTTTTTTAAAAAAAAATTTAATTTATAAATTTGCACTTATTATTGAAAGTATTTAATTTATAAATCTGCAAATTATTATTAGTAAAAGCAAAAGAAGAACGAAGTAGAAAAATTTAAAATAAAAAAAAACAAATTCAGTAAACAGATTTTATTAATTTATTAAACAATGAAATTGCAAATAATTAATATTAATTAAAGGAAAACAAAAAAATTAATAAAAAAGAAATAATAATTTTGAGAAAGAGAAAAACAATTTAATTAAACAACTAACCAAGAAAGATGAAATATGATGTTGGCGGCATTTTATATTGTTTTAATAATGTCATTAAATATGTTAAATCACCATCGATGCTACCAACAATAAATATTGACTTTCGCTCTAATGCTTCATCCAATACAACAATAAACATTGAATCACTTCTATCAATAAGCTCAATTGCATGATGAATTAACTGAAAGTAAACAAATAAATAAATAAACAATTAGGTCGATTGCTTCATAAATTAACTAAAAATAAATAAATAAATGAACAAACAAATAAATAATCAATAAGCTCAATTGCATGATGAATTAGCTGAAAGTAAATAAATAAATAAACAAATAAATAAACAATTAGGTCGATTGCTTCATAAATTAACTAAAAATAAATAAATAAATGAACAAACAAATAAATAATCAATATGCTCAATTGCATGATGAATTAACTGAAAGTAAATAAATAAATAAACAAATAAAAAAACAATTAAGTCGGCTATGTGATGAATTAACTGAAAATAAACAAATAAATAATCAATTAAGTCGACTATATGATGAATTAACTGAAAATAAACAAATAAATAAACAATTAAGTCGACTAGATGATGAATTAACTGAAAATAAACAAATAAATAAACAATTAAGTCGACTAGATGATGAATTAACTGAAAATAAACAAATAAATAAACAATTAAGTCGACTAGATGATGAATTAACTGAAAATAAACAAATAAATAAACAATTAAGTCGACTAGATGATGAATTAACTGAAAATAAACAAATAAATAATTAATTAAGTCGACTAGATGATGAATTAACTGAAAATAAACAAATAAATAAACAATTAGGTCGATAAAATATTATCCATCATAACTTGATACTTACTAAATCATACGAAACTTAGCAAAACAAAAATAGATCAAAATATTAAAATAACACCAAACAACTTATTTGGTACGGAGCACAAAATAGTAAAAGCGCAAAAAATACTACATGGGCTGGACTAGCTATTGAATTAGATTTAACAAAAATTATAGGTCACTTGAATTTAAAAGAAAAATACAAACTAAACAAAATTTAAAAAATATATCAAAACCATCCTTAAATCAAAAACTAGGAAAAAATGAATCTTATCATAATTGCCATGAAAATATAGTTTAGATCCAGTAAAATGTTAAAAAAAAAAACAAATAAATAAACTAATTAATAAGTTAATAAACAAGCAAGTAAACAAATAAATCAACATTTCCGCTTTTTTTTTGCACACAAAATAATTTAAAGAATTTAGGAAAAAAATATAAAAAAATAAAATAACAAAAAATTAATCGCTTAATAATAAAAAAAAAAAAAACATAAATCCAAAATTGTAAATTATAATTTTGTATTTTGCAAATACATTTAAATTTCTTTAATTATGCTAAAATATTCAAAACATTGCATTAAAAACTTGAATAAATCATTCTTTTTTAACAAAAAAAAACAAAACACAAAAAAATTATCCAATAAAAATTTTTAGTAATTTAATTATTTATGCAAATTTTTTTTTTTGTAAAATTTTTTTTTAAAATTATTTTACATACAGTAATCATAATTTCTCGATTCATCCATACCAGTGCTGGTATTCCATGACGGAATGATTTTTTAAAAATTGATAAAATTATATCATTCAATGTTTGTTCATCAAATTTTTTACACTTTGATGGTGGATGATAATTTGCCATTTTCTTATTAAAATTATTCCTCTAATCTTTAAGAAAAAAAAAAAAGGAAATATTTATTTTAGTAAAATAAAATAAACTTTAATTTATGTAAATAAATATTCATTGATAAATTTAATAAAACATAATTGTAATTGCATTTTCTGAAATAATTAAAAAAAGATAGCTATAATTTTCGAAAATTTTTATTTAAATTTAATTTTAACAAATACAAAAAGTTAATTTATTTTACTTAATTTTTTAATTAATTAAATTTAATTAATAAGGTTTAATTTGAAGAAAAAATTAATGTATTAAGCATTTCAAAAAGTTTTATTTTTTCCTTTTTTAAAGCAAAATTTTACAATACATTAAATAATTTCAATGGAAATTGCTTAAATTTCTACAGATCTGTTAATAAAAGTTACCAGTCAGTGTGAAACATAAATAAACAATGTTTGTAAACAAATTTTTCAAAATTTTTATATTCATTCCATTATCTAATAAGGTGCTATTTAGTAAAAAATTTAATATTGAAAATTATTTAATAAAAAAAATAAATGAAATAAAAAATTAAAGATGTTTTCCTTTCAAAAAAAATACTTTTATCCAGAATTAATTAAAATTAAATATTTAATAAAAACTGAATATGCTTTTTTTAAATAAATAAACAAATTAAATAATTTTGCTCAGAATTAATTAAATTAAATGATACAAAAAATTAATGATTTATTAAAAAAGTAAATGTGATTTAACTATAAATATTTTCACGCTGTTTAAATTATTATTTCAAGTAATTCTTTTTCATTTTTTTTTTATAGAAATGTTAATAATTTGCAAAGTAATAATTTAATTTAATAAATTTTAACTTAATTGGGTTTTTAATTTAATTTAATAAAAAAGTGCAAATTGAATAAAAATTTAATTTGTGCTTGCAAACTGTTCAATTTCAATTTTATATTTCAAATAATTTATTTTAATTCAGTGAATTTAAGTCAAAAAATTTTTTTTCAATTTTTTTTTCAAAATTCAAATTTTAATTGAAAGTAATTTGATTGAAATGACTTCAAATGTTTTTTAAATTATTAACACATTTTTTAATTTTAATGATAATTATGAATTATTGATCGCAAAAATTGTGGCTTATTTATTTCCATGCTCAATTGATCAAATTTTATTCAATCAATAAATTGGAAAATTATATTAAAATAATAAATTTTAAATAATAATTTATAATTCTAACAATTTTTCATTTTTTATTTGTTTGTTTATTTGTTTATTTGTTTTTTGTTTAGTATTTTTTTGTTTTATCCTTTAATTTATATTTTTGCTAATATGCAATTTTGCTAGTTCGCATTTATTAAAAATGTATATTATTACTTTAACAATTAAAATTAGATAAATATTCGATTTAAAATATAAGTACAAATTACTTCAATAATAATTAATAAACAATTGATATAAGTATATTCCTTAATTTTACAAGGAAATTTTTTCCTTTTTTATTCCTAAAAAAATAAATAATTAATTTTTTCGTTTTTTTTTTTTTTTTTTTATTCCTAAAAAGGTTTTTTTATTTTTTTTTCCTAAAAAAAATAAATAATTAATTTGGAAGAAATATTAACTATTCCGACTGCTCATGCAAAGGTAATAATTTCTAAGATAACAAATATTTCTCAATTAAAATTCATTTCAAATAATTCAGTTTGATTAAAAAATATTCTGAAATAAATTAGCTATCATAATTATATATTATTTTTATTAGTTACCAGCAATCACTACTATTACTTTATTATTATTACTATTGTTATTTAATATCAATACTAAATAATTAATTATAATTTATCACTTTTGTTCTACTGAATAAAATAATAAATAATAAACAAATAATCAAATTACGTTTGTTATGCTATCATTGTTATTTTAATATCATATATTATTATTATTATTATTATCATTATTATTATTATTATTATTATTATTATCATTATTATTATTATTATTATTATTATTATTATTATTATTATTATTATCATTATTATTATTTTTATTGTTATTATTATATGCTATTACTGATAATAAGAAGAAATTTTAAAAATGGTTGCTGAAAATTATTCAAAAATTTTGAATGATATGCAAAGAAAACATTATTGATAGTAATATTTTATTAGAAATATGAATGCAACAATCATATAAATTTTACTAACAAAACAATTAATATTTTATTATTTATTAAAAAAAAAGAAAAATCAAAAATTTTTTATGAATTTTATTCAATATTTAATTATAAATAAAAATAAAAATTTAATAATAGTTATTTAAAAAAAAAAACACATTTCGTTTTCATAATAATAATAATAATAGGATAAAAACATTTAAAAATAATTACCAATTAATGTTTCACCATCAATTTTAGGTAAATCAATTGCATAATGTACAAGAATATTGTTTGAAATGAAATAAATATCAATGATAAATGGTGAACAAATCATTGTAATTTGTTTATCAGTGATTAAATCAATCGAATCAACAATGTAAATATTATTATCAATGATTTCATTTGTTGATGTATATGACACCTGTAAAAGTAGAATTTATTTAAAAATTTAATTAAATGAATTTGGGGAAAAGTTTTTGTTTAAGCATTAAGAATCCTTTAATTTCCTTCTTTTTTCATTTTAATTTTAATATTAATACAAAGATTTTAAATGAGAATTGCAATTGAGCATAAATGAGAAATTGTTAGTAAACAAATTTGCTATTTTTTTTTGAACAAAAAATAAGTATTTGATTTCAAATTTTTGAACAAAAAGCAAGTATTTGATTTCAAATTTTTGAACAAAAAGCAAGTATTTGATTTCAAATTTTGAACAAGATCAAAGATCGAAATTAGATAAATGTTTTGTTCATTTCAGATATTTGTTCCGTTAAAAAAAAAGAAATAAAAAAATAAATTAAATTGTATTTAATGTAAATCTTATGAAAAATTCAGTTTCAAATTATTAAAGTATTAAATTTTAAAGAAAGAAAAAAGGTAAATTGCTAACCTGTAATTGCCATTTAACATTTTTGTAAACATTATTGAACTGAATGACTGCTTGATAAATTGGATTTGCACAAAATTTAATATATGAAAATTTTTCCAATTTAATCAATCTTTAATATACTTTTTTAAAAAAAAAATATTTTCAAAATATAAAAATGAATTGCATTAATATAATTGTCAAAAAATTTTTTGTTTAAATATTTGTAAATAATAATAAAAACAAAAAGGAAAAAAATAAATAAATAAACAAATAAACACATACGCTGTTTGATAACATTCTTGCAAGAGAAAACGATGTTTTGAATCACGAAGATATTCACAAATATAAAATTTATAATCATCTTGAGCTAAAAAATTTTAAAAAAAAATTTTTTCTTTTAAATTTTATTTTTTTCCAAAAAAAAAAAGTTTGTTAAATTATCTTTTGTTTTCTTTTTTTTTTTGCAGGAAAGAAAAAAGAAATTTAATGAGTAATTATAATTGTAAATAAAATTAAATTTGTGCTAAATATTTCTGCAACTTATAACCATATGCATTTGAAATGCTATATTGATAGCACAAATTAATTAATTAATTAATTAATTAATTAATTAATAATAGGTTGCAATTAAGATCAAAATTATTTATTTTCAAAATGAGTTATTTAATAAACATAAATTACAATCATTTGCATTTTCTTTTCTTTTTTTATTTAATTTTTAAAAGACGAAAATATTACTGAAACAATTCCTTAAATATTAATTCAAACAATGATATTTTAGGATTCCTATTCTAAATAAAAATTTAAACAAATATATTTCAAAATTCGTAAACAAAAAATCATATATATATATTTAAGATTTAAATAAAGATATTTAAGAATTCTTGTGTCAGAATTTCTAAATAAGAATTTGAACAAAAATATTTTAAAATTCCAGAATAAAAATTCAAGCAAATATATTTTAAGATTCCTAAACAAAGATTCAAACAGTGATATTTTAGGATTTCTAAATAAGAATTCAAGAAAAACAATTTTTCAAACTTTTAAAATTTTATATTAAATGTTGCATTCTGGAATATGCAATCATAAGTGCTAGAAAATTTTTAAAAATTTAAAGTTTTCAAATTTTAAAAATGTTTAAGGAAAAGGAAAGAACTGAAATAATGAAAATACCAAGTTGAGTTAATTCTTCAGCATTATCCATTCCAAAAAATGATGCTATAGGCGTTAAATTTGCATAATCTTCATTATCCAAAATAGGCATTAAACTGAAAAAAAAAATAAGAAAAAATTTTAATTTGTCTAAATCGATTTTAAAATTATAACCTTTAATATTTTATTAATTAAAATTTTTTAATTTAAAATTATAACCTTTAATATTTTATTAATTAAAATTTCATTATTTTATGTCATTATTTGTAAAGAAAATCAACTAGCAAATGATAAATTTTAATTTTATAAATTACAAATATTTGAAAAATTCATTTTAAAAAATTATAATAAAAATAATTTATAAAAAATTTAAAAATGCTCAAAAAAAAGGCAACTTACATTCCATTTTTTGTATTAAACATATTATATTTGCCAGTAATATTTTGAAGTAAAATAATTGTTTCATCGTTTGACAGAGTTTGCCATATTGTAGTCATTTGCATATTTCTCATGTAGAAATGATCGGTGTAATTAATTTTTGTTGAAATTTCAGCACTGACATCTAATGGACCTATTGAAAGGATTGTATTATTATTAGTTTTTAAATTTGCTTTGAAATTTATTGATGAATGGATTTAGTATTTAAAATTTATTTGTAATTTTTTTTAATGAATATATTAAAAAATTAATCAAACAAAAATATTTTATTATTATTTTTTTTTAAAATTTATTTGAAATTTATTGATGAATTTATTTATTATTTAGAATTTATTTGTAATTTTTAAATGAATCTATTAAAAAATTAATCAAACACAAATAATTTACTATTACTTTTTTTTTTAAATTTATTTGAAATTTATTGATGAATGGATTTATTATTTAAACTTTATTTGTAATTTATTAATGAATCTATTAAAAATTAATCAAACACAAATATTTCGTTATTATTTTTTTTTAAATTTATTTGAAATTTATTGTTCAGCCTATTTATTGCTTAAAATTTGTTTGAAATTTTTTGATGAATCTATTTATTATTGGAAATTTATTTGTAATTTATTAATGAATCTATTAAAAATTAATCAAACAAAAATATTTTATTATTATTTTTTTTTTAAATTTGCTTTGAAATTTGTTGATGAATGGATTTAGTATTTAAAATTTATTTGTAATTTTTTTTAATGAATATATTAAAAAATCAATCAAACAAAAATATTTTACTATTACTTTTTTTTAAATTTATTTGAAATTTATTGATGAATGGATTTAGTATTTAAACTTTATTTGTAATTTTTTTAATGATTATATTAAAAAATTAATCAAACAAAAATATTTTACTATTACTTTTTTTAAATTTATTTGAAATTTATTGTTCAGCCTATTTATTGCTTAAAATTTGTTTGAAATTTTTTGATGAATCTATTAAAAATTTTTCAAACACAAATATTTTATTACTATTTTTTTTAAATTTATTTGAAATTTATTGATGAATTTATTTATTATTTAGAATTTATTTGCAATTTATTAAAGAATCTATTAAAAAATTAATCAACAAAAATATTTTATTATTATTTATTTTTAAATTCGTTTGAAATTTATTGATGAATGAATTTGTTATTTAAAATTTACTTATAATTTACTAAAGAATCTATTAAAAAATTAATCAAAAAAAAAGTTCGATTATTAGCATTTTTAAATTTAATTGAAATTTATTGGTGAATCTATTTGTCAGTTAAAATTTCTTTGTAATTTACTATTAAATCTCTTAAAAAATTATTCAAAAAAAAAAAAATTCCATTATTATTATTTTTAAAATTTATTTGAAAATTTAAAAACTCAAATACAATTCATATTTTTTGTACAAAATTAAATAAAATTTCGAAAAATTTTTCAGCATTAAAATAAAAAATAATAGATTAGTGGTGAATAGAAAAAAAAAGTTTAAACAAATTTAAACAAAATCAAACAGAATTATATTTAATTTTTTTTTTTTAAAATGAAAACTTTTGTTTAAAAATTAAATTTAATATGCAATCATATTTAATACAATTTTGATATTTCAAAAAATTCTTATTTAAAAATTACACATAAATAATTGTGGATAATTTTACATTTTAAAAATTGAAAGTAATAAATGATTGAAAAATTGAAATTTGAAATGAAATAATTAAATACTTACTTTGACGGAAACAATGTGTTCCTTTGCCAATGAATGAATTATTATCACTCATTGTGATATGACAACAATATACAATTGATGAAAGTTGTTGACAATTTTTCATTCCATTAATAAATTTAATATTTGCTGAGCTAAATTAAAATTATTCAAATTCAAATAGAAAACTTAAAAAAGTAAAAAAAAAATTTACCAAACTTTTTTTATTTTTAATAGCTAAAAAAGTATTTGTAATAATTAAATTTTAATACAAATTATTAGAATTAGTTAAATTAATCAATTTTGAAATTTCATTTCAAAATTGGAAACTAATTCAGCAATAAAAATTTTATATGTTTAAAAAAAAAGTGCCAAAAATGATTTTAAATTAAAAAAAAAAAGTTCTATTATATCTTATCTTATCATATCATATTGCAAATTGTTAACAAAAATTTAATAAACATATAAACATTAGCATTTTCTATCTTTAATTTAAGAAAAGGACAGCAAAAAAAATTATAAAATAATTTTATTTTAAGTTAAATTAAATTTTTTTTTTGAAGTTTATCATTTATCATTATCAATCATTTTATCATTTTACAATTTTTCAATAAAATTATTAAAATATTTTTTAATTAAAAAAAAAAAAAAGCAAAACTTGCATAAATCCATTTTGGAAATCATCGAGCGCTAATTGCTCAACAAATAATTCATTGGTGTAATTTTTGAATGATGAAAGAATAAGCAAATTGTTATTTGTATCAACGCTAAGTAATGGCCTAAATTATAAATAAATAAAATAAAAAAAACTGAAATTCAAAAAAAAAAAAAAAATTCAAAAATATTAGCACAAAAATTTTTTCATTTAATTTATTCAAAAATAATAAATTATTATCACAATTTTTTTTTTTGAAATTTAACGATTTAAATAAAAATTTTAAAAAAAAATAAGAAAGATTTTTTTGGAAAAGAATTTATAAAATGAATCAAAAAATAAAAAAATATTAGTAAATAATTTAATCAATTAATTGATCGATTGGTAGATCGATTGATCAATCAGACCAATCAAATTTGTTAGCTATTTTAAAAAAAAAAAAAAGAAAAAAAGCTAATGGTTAAAATATATTTTTTATTAAATCAAAATTTAAGAAATTAAAAAATCAAACATTTTTTAATGTCAAAAATTGCAACTAGTAAATTGGAAATTCTAATTAATAAAGGATAAATTAAAATTAGTGAAAATAATACAAAAAAATCTAATCGTTTACTTCAAATTATAATTTAAATATTTTTTTTTTAAGTTTGAATTTAATACAAATAATACCTTTGAAGTTTAAAAGTTGCTAAAGTACGCTTTTGATAATCATTTAATGGAATAAATTTACAAAAATTTGTCATTTTATTGTCTGATTGTTGATGATTCATTGTTAAACATAGTATAATCAGTGCATTAACAATGATTAAAATGATAAAAAATATGATAAACAATTGACAAGACCAGAAATATCGTTGCTGATATGATAACTGATTTAATTTATCATCTAAAAATAAGAATGAAAATGAGAATAATAAATTAAATTATTTTAAAGTTAAATGGAATTAGTTGGAAAAAAAACATATGTAAAATAAAATTAATCAATATTTTTTAAATAAACAAATTAGGTAAATAAATAATTGATGAATAAATTAAATAAATAAAAGGGCAAATAAATAATTAATGATTAAATAAAATAAATAAATAAATAATAATTATTATTAATGTGGAATATTTTAATTTTGTAATGCAAATTAAAATTTATTAAAATTTAAGTATTATGCATAAAATTTTTTTAAGCATTATAATTTAAGTATCATATATTTTAGGTGGGATTAAAGTATAATGTATACAAACTTATTGTTATTCTTCCTGTTATTTACTAAGCATTTTTATTGTCATTTGTCTGCTAATCCTTTTATTGCCATCCATTCAGTGTTACTCGTCTTATTATTTACATATTATATTTTGTTATTTGTTTACTATTCGTATTACTATTTTATATTATTGCTACTCATCCTGTTATTTACCTAATAATTTTTATTTATCTATTACTATTATTGAATTTTATGATTTAATGTTTTAATTGATTTTATAATTTTTATTCATCCATTACTATGCACATTTTTATTTGCTGTTCTTTTCATTATTTGTTTATTAACTATTACTTATTTACTACTATATTTTTTTTTCATTTACCTAATCTTACTACTATTTTGTATTATTGCTATTCATCCTGTTATTTGCCCAGTAATTTTTATTTGCTTCATTTGTTATTGTTTCTTTTTCATTTATCTTGTGGCTAATTACTTACTTATTACTATTATTATTATTTGCTCAGTTATTGTCCATACTATAACCTACCTACTTATGCAATAAGCTGTGAAGTATTTTTCAGTAAAGTTAGTAAGCAATGTGACAACAAATAAAATTACAGCTTAATTAATTAATTAATTACACATTTATAATTTGTAATATAATCCTTCACTTATTTTCATAAAATTTACAAAAAGAAAAAATCAAAAATGCTATTTTTCAATTTTTTTAATTAAACATTTACAGGTTAATTATAGTTTTTTTTTTCTGAAAATTAATTATAGGTTAATTACAGATTTTGCTTAAATAATTACAGTGTTAACAATTTTAAGATATTTTAAATCATTAATTTTTTCAAAATGAAAATTTATTCAACCATAATTAATATTATTTCTGTTAAATTCAAAAATTCAAAATCGATTCAAATTTAATAATAAAAATTTAAAAGAAAAGAAGAAAAAAAAAACAAATAAACAAACAAACATGCATAATTAGTAGTAATTAATTGCGAATTATCATTGAATTTTTCATTATTCGCATCATTTCCATTTGAATACATTTGTTTTCTTTTTAATTTGATAATTAAAATAAATAAATAAAATTGAATTTCTGCAACAAAACTATGATATAAATTTTTTTTTTTTAAAAAAAAAAGGAACAAATTTAATTACAACAAAAATTATTTGCAAATTTTAAAAGTACATTTTTATTAAGGTTTTCTTTTTAATGTAAGCTATAAAATAAATTCTAATAAATTATTTGTTTTTTTTTTCTTAGAAATTTTAAGACAAAAAATTTTTTATTATTCAAAAATTTTTACTAAACTTTACTAAATGCCAAATTAATTTAATACATTTTTAATATTAATTAATGCTAACATTTTAATTTTAATTAATGTTAATTATTCCAATAATTATTAATACAATTTATGATAATATAAACTTTTTTTTATCATTTAAAACTTTTTTTATCATTTAAAAACAAGAAAAAACGATTTCTAAAAAAAAAAAATGTTTTTTTTTGATTGAATTTATGTTTTATTTACAGCAAAATAAGTAGTTTAATAAATAAGTTCAAATAAAAGATCTTATCACTGCTAATTCAATCTTATCAGTAACTATCAATGATCAATAAAATTTGTATTTATTTCTATCTCATTACTATCATTCTTAATAAATTTATACTTAGAGATTTGCAAAAAAAAAGATTATTAAAAAATATTCTTAAAATGCAAATTAAAAATTTAAATTATAACTTTTAAAAAATAAAATGAAGCAAAATTTATGATTATTTAAAGTGAAAAAAGGAAAAAAAACATTAAAAAAAATGAGAACACTTAAAGAAATGCTTTAATTGAATAATTGTTTTTGATAATATGGCATTAGTGATATTTCTTATCAATTTTATCAATAACAAAAATTTTGATTGAATAATTATTTGAATTACAATTTTTTTTTCTTTTTTTCAAAAACTTTAAACACAAAATATAGATCATTTAATTGACAATAATTAAATTAGTTATTCTAAATTCAAATTATAGTTTAATTTTATTCGTTTTTTAAATTTAATCTATTAAAATTTTTATTTTATTATTTAAACAAAAAAGAAAAAAAAAACATTTTTTTAAAAATAAATCACACATTTTTTATACATTTTATTTATTTAAAAAAACACTTTTTTTTTGCTTAAAATTCAAAAAAAAAAGATTTTTTTTTAAAAAATATATTTTAAAAAATTTTGAAAAATTAATTTGAAAAAAAAAAAGGTTTTCTATTAATTGAAAAGAGCCTGAAATTGATTCATTATTAAATGAGAAAATGATAAAAATTGAACAACGACTAAACTATACAAAAATGATATTTGCAAATGAGTAATAATTACTGATAAGAACTGATAAGAATAAATTTTATCTGTAATTTTTCTTTTTCCATTCATTTTCAAAATTTTTTCTTTCATTTTTTTTTTTTTTGCTATGCCATCGAATATTTCTTTTCCGTTTTCCGTTTTTCGTTTTTTTTTTTTTTTTTAGCAAATGTTATTTTAAAAGTTTTATTTTCTTAATTGAACTTTTGTAATAATCAATTATTTTATCATTGATAGCATAAAAAAATTAAATAACAATTAGACAAAAAAATTCTTACTCAGAAAAAAAAAAAGTAAGAAGAAAATATTTCTTAAAAAACAAATAAATATTTTATTCACAAAAAAAGTTAAAAGAAACAAATAACATTTTTTTTTTAAAAAAAAAAGAAATAATTCTTAGAAAAAAAGTAAAAAAAAAGAAGAATTGAACAATTCTTATTCAAAAAAGAGTTAAAAAATGAATAGCAATGAAATAATCTTAAAAAGTAACAGGTAAACAATTGTTAAAAAGTAATAGGTAAACAATTCTTAAAAAGTAACAGGGAACAGTAACAAGTGAACAATTCTTAAAAGCGACAGGTAAACAATTCCTAAAAAAGTAATTAGTAAACGATTCTTAAAAAGTAACAGGTAAACAGCTCTTAAAAAGTAATAGGTAAACAATTCTTAAAAAGTAACAGGTAAACAAGCATTAAGAAGTAACAGGTAAACAATTCTTAATTAAAAAAAAAAAAAAAAAACATTGAAAAATAAATAGCAATGAAATAATTTCTATTCGCAGAAGAAATTAAAAAAATAAACAAACAAAAAAAAAGCAAAAAAAAAAAACAAAATTTTGTTATTTCTATTCTTATTAGCTTATTCGTTTGAATAATGAAATTTTAAAAGTGACAAAAGTAATTAAATGAAAAATTTTATTTTAATTTTTTGATTCATTTATAGCACAAAAATAATTTTTAATTTGATAAATAATAATAGTAAGACAAAAGAGTGAAATCAAATTTTAATTGAATTCAAATTAAATTAAATTAAATTAAATTAAAAGTAGAACAAAAAAGAAAAAATAATAATAAATAAAAAATAAAAATTAATTTAAAAAAGAAAATAAATGCAATTATTATCTTTCCATTTAATGGACTGATTATATGCAAATTATCAATAATTTTTCAAAAAAAAGAAGAAAAAGTGCACATAATCAATTTTTTTTTTTTTTGCAATCTTTTTTTGAAATTAATTTTTTATTAATAATAAATAAACAAAAAAATAAAATTTTGTCAATTTTATTCTCATTATTAGCACAAGTTGTATGTTAATTCCGTAACTAATAATATTTTAAGTTTATTACAACAATTAAATACAAACGTACGTGAAATACGTACGTTTATTAGTATAACTTTATTGAACTAAAAGAATTAACAATAATTTTTATTCAAGCATTTTTCATTTCAATTTTTTTTTTCTTTTCACAATTCAATGCATTTTTTTATTTTCAGAAATTTTTCAGAAATAAAAGAATTTTTTTTTTTTTGCAAAAAAATTTTTTAAAATTAAAAAATAACGGTCCAATGAATAATAACACTAATAAGTATAATTGGATGTGAAATAATTTTTGAAAAATCAAAAAAAAAAGATTGTATTTGTAACATTTTTGTCTTTCCTTCTCCTTCTCTCTCTCTCTCTCTCTCTCTATTCTTTTGTTTTTTGAAATTTTATTTAAATTTAAATTTTTAATTTTTTTTTAAATATTAATTTCATCCATTTGAATGTGATAAATAAAATGAAAATAACATTATTATTTATTAATGAATTACATTCATTAATGGTTAAAAAAGGAAGGAAAGAAATGGATTTTGAATTTTTTTAAACTTCAAATTGCTTTTTAGTGAAAGATTTAAATTTAAAAAAATGCAAATGAAATTTTAAAAGAAAAGAAAAAAAAATTTTTTTTTTTTTTTTCATCAAATAAAAAATGAAAATAACAAAAAAAGGAAAAAAGAAATTTTAATGTAAATACTTTTTTCTCTTTTTTTTTTGTTAAATTACAACTTATCGTAAATATATTCAAAGAGAAATGAAAATAATAAGAGAGAAAGAGAGAGAGAGAGAGAGAGGAAGAGAGAGGGAGAGAGACAGATGGAATGAGAAAAAGGTAAAAAGAGAGTTAACCTATCATTTAACAGTTAAGCTATCATTTCGACAGTTAAACATTACTTTTTCCTTTTTAATTAGAAAAAATAAAAATAAGTTAAAGAAGTAATGGAGAGAGAGAGAGAAGAAGAGAGAGAGAAAGAGAGTGAGATAAAGAAAGAGAGAATTTTTAAAGATATTAGAAAAGAAGGAAAGAAAAAGATAAGAAAATTAGTTATAAAGTAAATAGAATTTTTTGATTTCTTGCTAATTCTCAATAATTTCAAATGTACAAATTGCTTCTTTTAATAAGCTTTGAAGGCATTTCATAGTGATTCGTATGTGACACATACACACATGCATACATACACACATGCATACATACGCACATGCATACATACACACACGCATACATACACACATGCATACATACACACATGCATACATACACACATGCATACATACACACATGCATACATACACACATGCATACATACACACATGCATACATACACACATGCACACATACACACATGCATACATTGTTATTGTCATTTATAGCAGAGTCAGATATGTTAAGATAAGAGTGTCTTTACTTTCTTAAGCTAAGTAAGCTAATAGAAATTGGCAGTAACATGCCTAAAACTCTTTAGGAATGTGAAATGTCGGCCTGCGAACACTGGCCCATTACATACACATACACACACACACACACACACATACATACACACATGTATGTTTATCAGGCCTTAAAGGCAATAGCAAAGAGAATAAGGCCAGTTTGCAATAATAGAATAATTCTTTATCAGTATATCTTCATACATACATCTGTATGTGTGTATGTGTATGCATGTGAATGTATGCATGTATGTGTGTATGTGTATGCATGTATGTATGTATGTGTATGCATGTATGTGTGTATGTGTATGCATGTGAATGTATGTGTGTATGTATCATGTGTTAGCTGTTATAAAGCCCTACGTTTTATGCTTTATATTTTGTTGGCTTATTTTATAATTCTCCTCCTCTATGTTCTCATTTCTCTATTGGCCAAGGCTGTAGGCCACACACACACACATACATATATACTAGCCTAATTCCATTATGAGCCAGGAAAGCATCCCAATATCATGTCGTGACGAATAATCATTGGCTTGCTTGAGGACACCTATTAATATTACTTTTTATTTCGTGTCATTGTTGTTGTTTTTGCTGCTATTATTAATTATTATTGCTATTGTTGTTGCTATTGTTATTGTTACAACAACAACAACAACAGCAAGGACAACGACAATAACAAACAATAACAATAGCAGTAACAGTAACAATAACATTTGGTATATAATATCCATATGTATAACATGAAAAAAAAAAAAAAACAAATTATAGACTAAAATGCATATTTATTTGTTATTAACAGATGTGTATCATCTCAGTGATAAGGAAGTGTTACGATTAGAAATAAACAATTACAACGAGATATACACGTGATACGTGGTTTACGCTGGAATATTATAATTTACGTATATACAAATATCCAATTCAAACTGTCAGAATCAGTAGCACAAA